AAATTTCTAATTTGAGGCTGTATTACGTCGATTCTGGCACCCAACATCACAGCAAGATGATATTTTAAGCTCCTTATGTAGCCGAATCTGCGCTGGTTTGAATGGGCCGCCTCCAGTTTCCTCTTTGTTTTGCTGCCTCCAGGTAGCGCTGTGACGTAGCTGACCCTAGTTACCTGTGGTTGGCCTGGCCGTGCGTCACTCAGAAAACAACAGGCCAATCAGAAGAGAGGCTCATGAATATTAACTAGACAGACCAAAATCGACTGGTTCTCAGCAGAGCTCCTGAGAGAGGAGCTGTAAAAATATATTGAGATGGTTTTTGGTACTTATACCGCAAATATATATTCTTAAGGACATCAAGACTTAAAATAAAACTCCAGAAAGGTGTAAAATATGTGACCTTTAAGCTCAACATTTTGCAATATTTTTATACACACAAACCAAGAATGAAATGAAAATTCACCTTACATATTTAATAAAAGCATGTTGTAGATCTTGTTGTGAACAATTCATTTGGGCATAGGTGTAACCCCTCTCTCCCGGGTCCTCACTGCCACACCTCGTTCTCGCGTCGAGTGGGTCTCGAACCCAGGTCTCCGGCAAGTTCCTTGCGCACTAACAAGGAGGCTAAAGACAGTGCATCTCTTAAGATCAGGGGAGTGAGGTTTACCTGCACAGCACCTACTCGCTGGCCTCTGCCACATAGGCTATATGTAATTAAAAAAATGTTTTTACCTCATAATGTTTAATCAAAATGTCAAAACTGGACCTTCTAGTAAAAACAACAGACTTATCTCTGGTGACGTATGCAGGACTTCTCCAGTCATTTAATCTGCTTAAACCTTGCTTCTACAAGCTTGCCTTCATCTGCCTCCACTTTGAGTCGATGTCCACATCTCAGCAAAAGTCAGACCCTATAGGGCTGAGAGTTTATCTGTGGAAGAGTTGCCTTTTCCTCATCATTCAGTACAATTTCGGGGCGTGGATCTGGATTCCAGATCAATTAGACCTGTTCTTGCAGTGGAGAAGAGTTCGATCAACATCATCTGTATTTAGATGAGCTATTCACTCAATACTCAGCATGGGCTGATATGCTTTCCCTGTCCCTCCCCATCTTTGGGCTGCTCTTAATTTGTGTTTCAAAGGTTAACCAAAGTCTTGTTAAGGTTTAGAACAACATGATGGCAAATACAAAATGACGACAGAATTTTCATTTTTGGGTGAACTACTCCTGTAAGAGTTTTGTTGTGGCTATATCATACAACTAGAACCGTTTGCCAATTGTTTTTATACACTTTTAGCAGCATTCCTTAGGACAACCATGTTACAGGCCAAACCGTGCCTTCTAACACAAGCTCTAGAACAGCTTGTCGCAAACCACATCTGTCAGCATTTTGCACCTGATGTTGATTTCTCTCAGATTTCGCTTTCTCTATTATGGCAATATGTTTTAAAGACAGTCATTTGTTCATTCTTTTTGATGCCTGTCAGAAGTGGGCATGCTTGTCTGGGACACTGGGTAGCAGACACCATTGCCTATAAATACAGTACCGTTCGGCAGGGGTGTAAAACACTTGAGTAATTTTACTTGATTACTCTACTTAAGTATTATTTTTGGGGATTTGTACTTTTTTCAAGAACAATTTAAACTGACTACTTGTACTTTTACTTTATTACATTTTTTAAGAAAAAAACAGTACTTTTTACTCCTTACAATTTGATTTAATCTTGAAAAGTACATTACATTTTTATTTTATCTTATGCACAATAAATATGGTAAACGGAAGCTCAAATGTGTGCTTGACGTGAAAACCGATGAACACTGTTTCTACGCATCAAGCACACACATTTCTACTTCGGTTATGACTTTCATCAGGTAAATTTTTGGCTTCAAAAGTTCACCATTAAATCTGAGGAAGCATATTGAGGTAACAAAGTTGTGTTTTCTCCCCCCAAAAAGTTTATTTGTTATTCTTTCTGTTTTGATAGAGCCATTGGCTGTGTAATATATTTGCTGAATGCACAAGATTGAGTGCCAATAAAATCAGTGATGAGAATTTAAATACAATTAATATTTTTGTGGGAATTATTATTTTTTTAATTAAATGTTACAAATCTCCAAAAAAGTGTTTAAATGAACATTGTATGTTAAATTAATTGTAATTTATATTTAGTGATGTTCTTACCAGGTAGTGGACGAGTTGTATTAATAATCATTATACTGTATGACACATTGAGTAGCAATTAGGACTGTCAATGTATATTTTTTTAATCTTAATAATTACATGATTTGCTCATTTATTAATCTAATTAGTCGCAAATAAAGATTTATCGATATTTGCTGAGAAAAAACTCTAAATGCCCCGAATAAACAATTACATTTTAGTTACCGTTTTAGACAGTGATGTTGAATAGACAACACAAAAAAGAGGCCTTTCAAAATGTTAATGTTGTATGTTTAAATTCTATGACTCTCCTCATTAATTCAACACATTATTGTATTCTGTTTGTTCTTCAGATGAACACAAGCAAAGATTTTTAGTCCATATAATGCAAGGGGACAGGGCCACTTCAGAAACCACACAAAGTCAAATATTAGTATTTGTATTCTTTTGTATTTATCGCTTCACTTAAGAAGACATTGATTCATTAACAGGTGTTGTATGAGTTACTGTCATATTAATTTTTGGACGTTCCATACACTTGCATTATATGAAGAGAGATGATTTTTTTCTAAAACTCTTAGTTTGTGTTCATCTATGATGAAAGTCATATGGGATGGCATGAGGGTGGAAAAGATAGAGTTTCCTTTTAATCCTTTTCCCTTTATTTATTTATTTGTGTGTGTGTGTGTGTGTGTGTGTGTGTGTGTGTGTGTGTGTGTGTTCTCGCGTGTG